AGTGATAATACTCTAGCTGGGTATAAAATTATAAAATCAACTGAAAATTAAACACAAAATAGGCATTTATAAGTACAAAAGGTAAAAAAAAGCCAAAAGGCATTTATAAGTAAAAAGGCAAAAAAAAAAAATATCTATCGTCTAAGAAATTAAATGAAACACATTTTTGTATAAAAATTATTTTTCTATTATGATTAATAAAAGAAAGGCATTTGCCTTCAAATCCGAACCCTAGTTATTATGTTTGGAAGCAGCTTCAGATGCTTCTGGTAAAGGCATGTTTGATACATTTTGTGCTATCTCAGAAAAGTATCAAATCAACTGGAAAGAAAAATTGTGTGCTCAGGCATACGATGGAGCTGCATCCATGCAAGGAGTTTATTCTGGACTAAAAACTTTCATACAAAAAGAAAATCCCCGGGCAGTCTACATATGGTGCTTTGCTCATATTTTAAATTTAGCTATTGTTGATACTTTAGATAGTTCAACAGACACTAGAAACTTTTTTGGTGATCTACAAGGACTAATCGGTTTTATGAGAGCTCGGAAACGTACTGCTATATTCTATGAGTGTCAAAAAAAATTGAACGTAGGAACAAAAGCCAAAGACCGAATAAAGAAGCTTAAAACATTTTCTGACACACGTTGGACATCTCATGATCGATTGGTTTTGATAATTCATGACAAATTTGATGCTCTCAAAGAAGCTCTTAAAATACTTTCAGATTCAACCGATAGAGTAACATCATCAAATACCCGTATATTTTTAACAACAATTTCTTCTTTTAATTTTGTTCTTATTATGAAACTTATGAAACAGTTGTTTGCTATAACAACTCCTTTATCTTGTTACTTACAATCTAAATCTATTGATTTTATTCAAGCCTATAAATTAGTCGATATGGCAAAAAAAGAATTAGAAAAAATGAGGTCTACGGAAAAGTTTCAAGAACTTGTAGAGGACACTAAATTATTTGCAACTGAAAATAACATTGATGAGTGTGATTTCAAGGAAATTAGAATTCGCAAAAGAAAAATATTTGATGGAGAACAAATTTCTGCTGAAAATTTTGATTTAGTATCAGAAAGGTAAAAAGTGAACAGTTAAATTCATGATTGACACTCTTTTGCAATTTAAAAATTCAAGATAACCTGTAAAATTACATGATTTAAATTAATTACATTTTTTATTAGCATATGGTTTATTAAATTTTAAGACATATTTGGTTTGTATTTCAGATTTAAAATAAATACTTATTTTACAGTATTAGACCAAATAACAGCATCATTTAATAACCGATTCAATGGAGCACGAGAAATTTTAAAGCACTTAACACTTCTCTCACCAGAACTCTTATAAGTTACATATTGATTCATTTACATATATAGCACAATGGATTAACGGCATAAATCATGAACAGCTCATATCAGAATACATTGCATTTAGTAAATGTTTTACTGAATTAATTAATAGTTCAACATTACCAACTTCTCTTCATAAATACCAACCAAATGAACCAGATACACTTTCTAATGAAGAGATAATTTCATCTGACGAAGAGTCTATTGAATCTCATGATTTATCAATTGATCTAGGAGTAAAAAAAGAGACTGTACTAGATGTGATGCAACTTTTAAGTAACCATGATTTACATACGGCGTTTGTTTTTGGCCTATCAAGGGTTATGCACATTGCTAGCATCATCAGCTTCTGCTGAAAGATCTTTTTCTAAGGTATTTGATATAATTGAATTATTTTTAATAATACTGTTATTTTTCAATTCTAATTTTCAGAGAAATGAATAATTTGTATAATATGAAATACATATATATTTTATTAAATATTTTAATATTATAATTATAATGTTCCATTAATTAAATTAATTAAACATATTAAATCTGTTTAGGTCAAAATCATAAAATCATAAAAACAAGACTCTACTATGAAGCAATCCAGGCTTGAGAGTTTAATGTTTTTATCATGCGAGCGTGACATTGAGAGGTTATATAAACTTTTCTTTATCATAATTAAAACCACGGTCTTAGAATTAAAACCTTATTTATCACTTGCCAATTCAGAATCGCTATGATAATGTGAACTGCGATTTTGTTAATATTTAAGGAAACTAATAATAAAAACTGTCAAATTCAAATGATAATACCGGACTAGATAAATATTTGTTTTAGTGTTTAGTTTCATGTTTCATGTTTCATAGCTTTAAATTATAGACTTATAGAGGATTTATATTATACAATATGATTTAATATTTAGTGATTCAATTAAAAATTAATTAAAATTAAATGTATGAATATCTTTTTGTTTTAATGTGTGGCTTCKTCTTTAATTGTAAGTACATGATTCATTATTATTTTTCTTCTAATTTGTAATTTTACAACCTGAAAATAATTTTAAAAAGTTAAACTATGAAATTTTCTTTTTTTTTTAATTGAAAATCAAACAATATGGAAATTTATGCAAAACTATGTATTTATTTACAAATGATTACATTGATATAAATTTAAAAGTAGATTCCTATGTTTACAAAACTACTGACATTTTATTTTTATTTATTTCTTTCTTTAAAATCAATTTCTTAATTATAAGACGTCATGTGAAATATATTACATACTATTTGATCGTTGCCTAATTTCTATATAAAATATTAATTAATACAAATTAGACACTATAGTAAGTATACACCAATTTATATTAAAACAATAAAAACAATATTAAAAATTCATTCCTGTTATTTTTTTCTTACTTTATAATAATACTTGGTAAAATATGCATAATGAGCATTTAAAATTAATCTAAATTTAAATTTAAAAAGATAATTTTCTCAAACTTTGTACTTGATATTCTACTTCTTTTTTTGTTATTGTTTGTCCAGCTTTGAAGAATATACGCTCGCATGGAACTGATGTACCCATAATACAAAATCTTTTTTTTACAATTTGGAAAAGCCTAGGATATACATATTGATATTGTTTCCACCAAACTAAAACATCTTCATTTCTTGGTAATAGTGGTTCTTGCAGATATTTATCCAGTTCCACAATGAATGCCGAAGTAGGATTTGAAGATTGGACCAATGTATTTACTTCTGAGTCAAAATCATTCCATATTGAATCACTACAATTCTCATTTGGCAATGTATTTATTTTATTTGTACTATTTGCAATTCTTATTGTTGTGGCTTTACTAATCAATGACTTTTTACCTTCATTGTATGCATGTTGATGTAAAAATCCATAACTTTTGAACCTTGGGTCCAATATTGTGGCTTCTGCATATAATGCTATTAATTCAATGGATCCAAACCGTGTTTCTACTTCTTTCACCAAAACATTAACCATATTATAAATTTGAATAGATGAGTAATCGTCAAGTTTAATTTTGTTACAATATTTAATTAACGATTTACTTAGAACAACTATCTTTGGAATCGAAACAGATTTTTCAGCACTTATTTCAACCGTTATTTCTTTAAAAGGCTTTAAGATTTCGCAAGTTTTATTTATAATATACCAATCATTATTAGTTAAATATTCATTATTAATTATTATTTATCAACTATAATTTTGTACAGACGTCCAACCATCAGTCGTTATACTAACAAATTTACCATTGGACAATATATCACTTTTTACTTTATCGTATGTCTCATTATAAAGAATTGGAAGATAAGAAGTTGACAAAGTTTTTCTAGATGGTAAATCATATCCAGGGTTCAACATTTGGATAAATTTCCTAAACTCTTTATCCTCTACAATACTAAACGGGTAGTATTCCTTTACGATCATTCTTAACACTTCTTGCTGGTCAAGAATTTTACGCCGAGAAGTCCCTACGAGTCTTGGCAAGTACCTTGTAATACTGTTTTGTACTTGATTCTGTATATTATTGGAAAATGTTGATGATGCAATTATTGTTTCAGCTTGGTGCGGCTCAGAATTAGAAACAGACTAAAAACGACAACAATTTTATATTTTTATACAATATTAATTTAAAAATTTGATGAGTTCATTTATTTATTTTTTGGTAACTAATAATAATAATAATATTGCATTATAATTTAAATTTGTTTATTTTTGTATTTTATTTTATACTTATTTATACATTATTTTGTTATATACTTGAAAAGAAAAAGGTAATAAATTACAAGGTTTAGTTTACTATATAATATTATTATACTCTAGGTAGTACCTATTTTTTAAATTTAAATTTACTTTTAAAGAATAATTTAGTTTTTATTGCTTTAAAATACTGAATATAYTCACTGAATTCGAAACCGAAGGAGTTTCAACTACTACAGATCTTGGGTCATCAATACCATCTTCATCTTCTTCTCTTAAATTATGTCTTTGTCTGTTCAAATCAATAGTTGTGTGTTTTAACCGCATGTGGCTCATCATATTGGAAGTCGATAACTTATTATGTTTCATAACAACCCGACACAAACCACATTTAACATTTTTTTTCTCATTATCCAACTTAAAATAATTCCAAACCACACTCTTACTCATATTGGATTAGATGGCTTTGAAATATTATTTTAATATTTATCGTAACTTACTAAGTTTTATATTAATAAATATTATTTTCCATGACCAACACACTATACACAAAATACCATGCTCATTGGGTTATGGAAAAATGAATAACTATGTATTATCATTCTATTGTTACTTGTTTTAGTAAATATTTTTAATAATATGCTTGGAAGTTATTTTTAGATATTTATATGTACAATGAGTATAAATAAACTAAAATTTTAATATATTACCAAATAATAATACATGTTTTATTTTGATATAGTGTACACTAGTTCACATTGATATCAGATTATTTTTTTTTWWATTCATTTATTTAGAAAATAAATAATAGGTAAAATAACCATTTTTGTAATACTAGGGAAAAATTAGTATTAAGACCACATTTTGATAGAAATGAAAAGAAAAAATAATACAATAAAGAATATTTATTGTTTAGTAAAATATTAATTTTGTATTCTGAACATTTGATTAACCATTACTAATACAGAACAATAAATTAAATTATAATATTTGTTTCCTTATATTAACATTTGGTACTATTTTGAATTTTAAAATTTAAATCGTATACTTTAATTTTTAATTTTTATTTATATATTTCAGACATTAAATGCATTAGAATTTAAATTTAATAAACAACAATATTGAATATTATTTTTTTTGTACAGAACTTGTACGAACGCAAGAATGGCTGCGTGTCGCTGTAGCGTAAGGCGTAACTTATCACTTATGAACTTAATAGCTATTGCCTATTGTAGCCGTTAGCCGTTTCCATTAAATATTGCGTCCGACCGCGACGTCACTACCGCTAAAGCGCTAGCGTCGACTGCGGCGGTAGCCGGCGCCGCCTAAGTTTGTACATGCGAGGTGCATCTACGTACACACATGTAAGCTCGTAAAATAACGTGTGTAGTGCATGCGCAGACCGCCGCCAGAGGCGACTAAAATCAACCGCACAACGAAATAATAAGGCTCGATACACACGTGCGTTATTTTGACGTGCGGCACCGCTGCGTCATCGTAATTGCGAGGCGTTCTATTTATAATTAAATTGACCGACACACACACGTCTCCGTCACCGCGCGTTATCGTACGAGCTCGCACGAGACAAAAANTTTATAAGATAAATTTCGAAACATTTTAATAATTATAATTGTAAAGTGGTAACACCAATCCGATTATACTAACGTGCTCGTCGTACTGTCACTGTGCATACTAGCGTACTGTCGTTGTCGTCTTGCCGATGTCGGTTCTATGTGTATTGGACACATTTTTGTCGTGTCGTGCCGTGTCGTGCCGTGCTGTGTCGTGTCGTGTCGTGTCGTACCAATGTGAATCGCGCTTTAGTTTTATTAAACTGTTAACAGTAGGTATTACTCAATTTACACTTCACGGTTTACAGTAATAGTTGTCAATTGTTCACAATTTAAATTTTAAAAAGCCAAATACTAATAAACGCTAACGCAGAAACGCCGCACTCGAGGTTTGAGAATTAGTGAGTATTCAGTGTTACCTATAAATTATATAATAGCTGTGCTGCGTAGCGTCGGGAAGTTCAGCTGCGCGGGTAAGGGAAACGCGCATATTGTTGTCGCTTAACATGTTGTCGGAGGCGTGGGGACGTGTAATATCGATAACACTATTGTGGTCTCCGTCAGCCGATCGGATTGCTGTAGGTTTTTCCATTAATTTTAGATCTAATTTTAGATTATCAAAACAAGGCCAATTAGGCTCGATACACACGTGCGTTATTTTGACGTGCGGCACCGCTGCGTCATCGTAATTGCGAGGCGTTCTATTTATAATTAAATTGACCGATACATACACGTCTCCGTCACCGCGCGTTATCGTACGAGCTCGCACGAGACAAAAAATACTCCGATAACGTAACGTCAAATTATCATAAATGCGGCGTCTCATTACATAGCGATTTATAGATCGATACACACGTGCGTGTTTTTATCGTAATAATGGCTTTGAACACACAATTTGAAATTTTTGACATCGAACTTTTTATCGYGGAAATAAAGAAGTACCCTGAAATTTGGAACTTAAGTTGTGAGTCATATCATGACAGGGTAAAAAAACGATCGGCTTGGATTAATATTTGCCGTGAATTTTGCGAAGGATTTGATGAGAAAGGAAGATACAATCAAAAATGAAATAAGTAAGAGTACATATTTGACTTAGTATACAATTTTATTTATTTAATACGATACTAGAATACTATAAGAAAACTTATAAATATAAGTAAATTGATACATAATATAATAGTATTTTGAAAATTCTATTTAATTTCTGCTTTTTAATGAGGTAATATTAATATTAATAAACTAMAAAACTTATGTTTTGAACTATACAATTTTGTGTATATCTAACTGTTAATCTAATTTTGTATTTTTTTTATCATGTAAATTAAATTATTAAATATACTCTCTCTGCCAAGAGACGCTACCAACATCAGATACAAAATAATTGGTAAACAAATTGCGAATACGCGTTGATTGCAGAGTAGGTCTAGTAGTTGCTGTTCTGATTCCCTCATTATGTGCAAACTCTACACTCATGGCGTCTTCAATGTGAAATCCATCTCTAGTCCTCACATAGTTATGTRGACTACAACATGTTTTTATAATAAGYTTAGCTAAATCTAAACTTCCGTTAATGGGTCTATGGAAAATTTTCCATTTGTTGGAAAGTATACCAAATGTACTTTCTACATTTCGGCGAGCACGGGACAATCTATAATTAAAAATTCTTTTTTCTTCTGACAATATTTTTCCACTGTAGGGCCGCATAATGTGTTGAGAAATGGAAAAAGCTTCGTCACCGACAAAAATATAAGGAAGGCTTAGATTTTCAGTTCCTGGAAGAAGTTGACTAGTCGGAATATTCAATTCATTATTTTCTAGTTTTTTAAAARATTCAGTTCTTTCAAATATAGTGCTGTCGGCGTCTTTTCCGAAAGAACCAACGTCAATATATACAAATTTGTAGTCCGCATCAGCAATAGCTAGTAACACAATCGAATAATAATTTTTATAATTGTGAAACAGCGATCCACTCAATTTTGGTTTGATTATTCTGACGTGTTTCCCGTCAATCGCGCYTATACAGTTCGGAAATTGGGTTCTCTGATAAAAACWATCAGCGAGTTTTTTCCAATGTTCCTGTGTCAGTTCGGGSAAACATTCTTCTTTCAAAGTTTCCCAAATAGCTGTGCAAACWCTTCTAATAATGTATCCAATGRTTGAATGTCCCAATCTGTATGTCAAATGTAGGTCTTTTTGGTCACAGCCACTTCCTAAGTATCTTTAACAAAATATATAAATTGAAAATCAATAGTGTAATAATTCTAAATAAAATATTTAATGAATTCATTTTTATTTCCTATACATTTTCAAGTTAATTTTAGATTCTGAACGGAGTGAAGAATGTATTGATTTTACAATGATGTGTGTGTTTTTTTTTTTGTGTCTGTGTACAGCATAACTAGTCGAAATAATGCTTCGATTTCAAACTTCAGGGGTGGTTTCCGATGGCAAAGTGAATATCCTTGGTGCATTATAGAGGTCAAAATTAAACATTTTCCGACAGTTTTCAAAAAAATCGAGAAAAACAAAAAAAAGTGACGGAAAAACGGGAAATTTTACGCAAAACCAATTTTCGACAAAAACTAAAATTTAATTTTACTGTAACTCAAAAAGTAATTACTGTAAGCACATGAACCGAACGACCACGCGCGTAACGACCGCGAGCTTGTACACTCGCAACGTCTCGATCTCGCCATTATTGTGTAACRA